CAGCCTCTCAGGGCTGCTGGAAGGATAGACACACATGGTGATTGTAAAAGCAGTTTAGAAGACAGTCAGCTGGACTCCCAGCCCCTCTCATGGGAAGAGAGGGGAGCAGTATAGACATCACTTGTCATCTTTCATATGAAACTGCCAAGGGTAAGGGTTCTCTGTGATGTTATCTTGCTGGGACTTGTGAGGCACCAGGATCATGGGTTAGAAACAGAAACAATGGGTTTCCCCAGACCACAGAGAAGAAGCCTGCATATCAAGCCTGAGGACTCCCCACTTCCACCTCTACCCCCAGCCACGGTTTGCAGAGCCTGGACCAGCAGAGTGTCTGACCCCAGGCAGGAAGGAAACAGGCTGCTCAGGCAGAGAGAAATGGCAGCAGGTGGCTCTCTTCCCTCTGTTCTTACATCCTTGATCGTGAATATTCATCACAAATTTCCTGGCCTCCTGGATGTTGTCAGGAGTGGCTTGAACTAAACTATCTTTCCAAGTGGTCACACTTCCACTGAACAGGATGAAATTCAGGTAGTCATCCTCTTTCATATCCTCCAGAATTTTGAGGAGGGCATCCTTTGTCTAGGAAAGAGAAAGGCAAGGAGACAAGAAGATGTCTTCCCAGCCTGGGCTGGCGGTGGGGCCTATCTTTTCTGCAACAAAAGGGGCAGATGCTTTGTGCCTTTGAAAAATTCCTGTCCCCCTTCCTCCTCTTTCACTGGAAATACCTGCTTCATCCACTTGAAAAAAATCTCTCTCTCCTTCCCACCCATCACCCCCAATCCCTGCACCAAGAAGAGTACCTGCTCCATTTTCCGACCGTGCATGGAGCCACTGATGTCAATCACAAAGACCACATTCTTGGGCACCACCGGAAGGCCTTGAGGTGCGAAGAAATGCACAAAGTAGCCATTGACTATCTGGAAAGGGGAGAGAGAGACTGGAGGTCAGTGGCCCTTTAGCAACCTCGCACTGGCTACTCCTGCAAATAGAAGCTGGACATTTACAGCCCCAAATAAAGATGTCCTTTCCCCCCATCCAGGGGGTGCCACACAAAGGCCCTGAACTGCCTATCGTCCCCACACCTAGTGGGAAATTCGTCCTTGGGCTGTGGATCAAGGGTGTCGCACAAGATGCCACTGGAGCCCCACCCGGCATCAGCCCTCACCCCACCATGCTGGGGAATCAACCAGCCCGGCAGAGCTATTTGGTGAGTACCTATGAGTACCTACCTGTACATTGGCTGGAGACTCTCTGTTCACATCATAGGTGATAATGAAATCTCCTTTGAGGAGGGAGTCCGTACAGGTTGGGCATGAACGCTGTTGGTCCAAGCTGGGCTTGAAGGACACATGGCCCTGAGGAAAGATGATGGAGAGCCTGGCTCAGCTCGACCACAGCCTGCCTTCTGCAGACCTCAGCCTGGTGCTGCCCTGGAGAGTGAGGCACAGCCCTCATGGGGAGGAGCCTGAAAGTGGGTGCCTGGACTGTCCAGAGAACCCCCATCTGGGGTTCTCTGGCCTTTCTGAGCTCCTCTTTCACTCTCAGAGATCAGGAGCTGCTTGGAGGGCAGGGGTCTTGTATGAGGCAGCCTTTCACTCTCCTCATTCACTGGGCCCCACAAGTCCCTTCGCGCAGCCTACCTTGGAGCTCAGCGCTGAGAAGCCACTTAGGGAGGGGAGATTTGCACCATGAAAAGGAACTCCATGTTGGGTGGTATTGGATGTGTTGTTGCCAAGAGGAAGGGAAGGGAGCAGAGCAGGGAGCAGGGAGAGGGCTCAGGGCAGGGGCACTGCCTGCAGAAGCCAGCAGCCCTCTGAGTGTGTGTGCTTCTTGGGCCCTTCCCTGGGAGTCCTGAATGACTGGGGTTCGCTGTTTGTATAAACATTTATTCATTCCCCCGCCCACGATCAGCAAGGCCCCTGGAATCGCTGGGGACCTTAGGGACTGGAGCCAACCACCAGCACTGAGAATGAAGTTCCCTTTCTTCTTTCATCCCTCATGTGGAGTCAGATCTAAATGACACCCTCTAGCCTCTGTCTCCTTGTCTATAAAACAGGGACAGTAACCTGCCCAGCCCACTTCGCAAGGTAGAATGGGACCAGGCTTTGAAAATGGTTTCCCTGTCCTCCCGGTGCAGCTGAGACCCCAGTTCCTCTAGCAGGTCTCATCAGCAAGCAGCTCCTGCCTCCAGCATCCTCATTCCTGACCAGGTGACCTGGGAGAAAGGTGATGGTTATGGCTTATTCCCCTCCCCCTCACACACTCACTTGCATCATCCAGACCCCCAAGTTCAGACTCGCCCTGCTAGGGTCAGAGTTTCTGCCCCTGCCCCCCAACCGTGGCCCAAGAGGCATCTATGCCACCTTTTTCCCTGAGAAGGACTTGGTGAGGGCGCTGCCCAGGAGGTCATTAGTGATGAATGAGGCTTCAGCATCCAACGTGCTGATGCCCTGGGGCTCGAAGATGTCTGCCTTGATCTGAAATGGCAAAAGATAAGGAGATGTCATTCCGTGGCAGTGCAGAGGCCAACCTCCAGGACAAGGACCAGGGCAAGGAGCTGGGTCAGTGATGGTGCAGGGACCAGCCTCTAGGACAACTCTGTGAAGGCCAGTCCTGCTGTCTCCCACCAAGAAAATGACCACAAGGGTTTGTAGACTGGTACTGTAATCCCAAAGCTCTCCCACTAGCTGCCATATGGTGCTCACATTCCACCACCAAAGCGTTTCCTTTGGCTTTCTACTCTGTTGTAGATAAGATGCCTGTGTACCTGGTTACAAACATTACAGAGATGCTTTGTAATGTTGTCCCCAAGGACCCAGCTCCCAACCTGGATCTGCGAGGTGCAGCCCAGCCTCCTCCCCTTGGCCCAGGTGCTGTGGCCAGAACCACCGTAATTCCCTCAAACCCCCTGAGCCAAGTGGTGGGGCCTGGACTTCTGCATTCTTGACCCTTCTGTGGGCTCTGCCCAGGGGCCCTTCCTCGCACCCCAGCCCTGGCAGTTTGAGCAGGGGCTGCAGGAGAGCAGCTGATTACCTCAAAGTGCTTGACCAGTTGCTTGGGCTGGACCTTGAGGTACATCTCATACTTGCCCTTGTGCCTCTTCAGCAGCTCCTCGTAGGTTAGCTCAAAGGTGACCTTGCTGCCTGAAGCCACGTTGACTGAGACTGTGAATTTCTCCAGCTTCCTCCCAGAGGCCCTGGACAGGGATGTGAGACAGTGACTGCATGAACCCACCCTTCCTGGGGTTTTAGTTCAAGCCCCTTCTCCTTGGGGGAAGACCTCCACCCACTCTGAGCCTTGGTTGCCTCAACTTCAAAACGGTTAATGTTATAAGAATTATAGGCGCATTAATGAAACAGTAGCTGCTGTTCTGTTGTTTGAGTTCTGAGGGCCTGGACAGCCCTGGCATTCTCCCCAAGGCATGGGAGGGGGGGTGTTGGGGAGGAGGTGGGTCACACTTACTTGACCAAGCCAGCCGTCTTGCCCTGGGACACGGCCTTTTCATACTGCTTCTTGGCAACTTCCTTCTCCTTGACATTCCCAGGGTACGTAACGCCATCGATGGTCCTGTAGGGAGAGAGAGTTGAGGGGCTTTTGCTGGGCCCGCCTCCCGTCCTGAGCCCAGAGCAAGCAGCCGTGGTGACACCCACAAGGTGAAATTGGTGATGAAGGCTGTCTTGGGCAGCTCCACATCGAAAGAGACCTCCTTGGCCGTGTCTGCATGGTTGACGGCCCTGGTGGTGACGACATTGTGAGCGAAGCGGGAGGTCACCTTGCAGGTGATCTTGGTGCTGTAGACCTCAATGCCGTTGACCACCTGCAGGAGAGGGGTTGTTAGCAGCCAGCCTGAGGCACCTGGCTGCTCCACTTCCAAGCTCCTCTCTGCAGGCTCCAAAGCTTCTGCATGGTAAGTGGCCCCTCCGTTCTCCTAGTCACCCATGTCAGAGGCCTGAGTGGTGTCTCCCTGTGTAATTGGCCACCACTGTTCTGATGGCCACTTTGCCTCCTTAGCTCTATGGTCTGTTTATGTGCAGCTATAGCCACTGAGATCTTGTAAAAACCCATGTCTGACCCTTGTCCCTCTCCCACTTAAAGCCCTCCCACAGTCCCCACCACCCTCAGGACAGTCCTCCCCATGGCTATGGGCTCCCCCAGGCAGGTCCTGCCTCCTCTGTGCATCTTGTGCTGCAGCCATGCTTGGTCTCTGCGCCAGGAGCTCCCACCCTGGCTCTTCCTGCTCATCTCCACACCTCAGCTTGGAAAAGACCACATTCACACACACCCCAGCCTGCCTCCTGTGTCTTTTGGTAATTGTCCTGTTTTGTCTCCCAAACAGGCATTTATTCCCTGTGCCCAGGGGGTTGTGTGGGGAGGACCTTCATGCCCCCAACACCCTCTTTCCACCAGGGCTTCAGGGAAGCATCTGGGTTAAACATGGATATAAAGATGCTTCGTGAGGGTGTGACAGGGCCATTCGCTGCGTATCCCCTGCCCAGCACCCAGAGCCTGGTAAGTGCTGGGTAAGTGTTTGTGGAAGGAAGGACAAGTCGAAGTTGGTTCTGTGCTGCATTGGCCAGTCCCTCCGGGGCGCCCTTTCCCAAGGCTCTGGAGTTGCAGAGGGGCTCTGCTAGGGCAGGGCGCCATAAGCTGTTGGCCAGCTAGAGGGCCTGCCGTGGTGGCCCACCCCTTCAGCTGTTGCACAACCAGCTCCGCCCTGCCCCATCCCTGATGAAAGTTCTCACCCCTTCCGGGAGGCTCCGTTTCTGCAGAAACAAAGACAAACAAAGGAGTCAGGCCAAGGCCAAGGTTACCATGGCTGGAGAGCCAGGGTTCAGCAGTGATACCCCCCCACACACATAAACACATCTTGAGGGGTCTCTGGGCACAGGACCCACCTGGAGTAGGAAGGGCTTTGAAAAGGAAGAGAAGGTCTCCAGTTCAGCCAGGGGAGCAGGGCAGAGAGAACCAATGCCAAAGTGCTCCTCCTGCTTCATATACCCCGACTCACTCCGCCTTTCCGTGGGCCCAGGCCCCTGAGGCCTTCTCTAGGCCCTCACCACCACTGTACCCGACACGGCTCAGCTCAGCCTTTCCTAGAGGCCTCTGCCCTCGTCTCAGATATGGTCCTTCACAGCCTGTCGGGGAGGTGAGCTGTTTGTGGTGCATCGCCCATTTGACAGGTAGGGAAACAAGCCCAGGAGATGTAAGAGCCTTGCCCAGGATTAGACAGCAGGTCTGGGGCCCAGTCCTCCTACCCGCAGCCCTGTCCCCTGCAGCTCACTGCCCAGCCTCTGCCTCGCCCTCACCCTTCGTAGTGGTCTGCCCAGCCTAGTGCCTCTACCTGTAAGGGCTAATGTCCAGCCCCCCTTCCAGATGTTGAAGAGGGGGCAGACTTACCCCAAGCGGCCGGGGCGGGCTTCTCAGGAAGCCAGAGACTGCCAAGCTGGAGAGCAGGGCCAAGACAAGGCAGGGCCACTGAGCAGATACCATCACTGAGCACCCTGGCCTGGCCCGAGCTCCTTATATGAGCAAGCCTGGTGTTTTCCAAGTGGGGTCATCGACCTGTAGCGCGGGGGGGAGGAGTGGGAGGTGGGAGGCTCCCCTGGGAAGCTAGAGCCTGGCTAGAGTAACCAGCCTGGATCTGCCTGTACTAAGGAAGCCCAGTGGGTGTCATCAACAGTGTGGGGACTTCATTCCCAGTGGCTATGGGACATGGAGGCCCCTGGGGAAAGCAGAAGCTCTGTGTTGACAAGTGGATCCCGGCATTCCTGAGATGGGGCAATGGTGTGGGGTATGGAGTCACATTTAAAGCAAATGGCATCTCAGCATCATTGTTTCTGATCCATCCTACTGATGTGTGCTCTGGTCTGGCCTCCTGGATCATAGCCACCCCTTCTCAAGGCAGCCAGGGCACAAAACCAGGTTCATCACCCTAAGGCTTAGATCTCCATTCATTACCCTCTGTGGTTCCCACGAACCCTTGGAAAAGATGAACCCTGAGTCCTATGGTCCAGCTCCAATGTGCTTTTCTGAACTTCACTCTCTTCCCACTGGCATGACCTCCCCTTCTCTGCACATCACAGCTGTCATCTCTGCCAGCTCATGTGCCCCCTACAAAAGTCTTCAGCTCTATTTTTTGGCGGGGGGAGGTGATTAGGTTTGTTTATTTTTAGAGGAGGTGCTGGGGATTGAACCCAGGACCTCATGCATGCTAAGCGTGCGCTCTACCACTTGAGCTATACCCTCCCCAAAAGTCTTCAGCTTTTATCCCCACAGACAGCCCAGCCCCAGGCTCCATGAAGGGCCTCGATTGTTACCTTTGGTTGAGGTTTGCATGTTTGGGTCTGATCACCCCCTCTAGACTCCAAGGTTCTGGAGGGCCAGGCCGTATCACATCCATCTCTGTGTTCCCAGGGCCTGGCCAGGAACTCAGCTGCCCTCAGCCTCTTGGAGAAACATTCTCCCAAAATTCTCCAGTGAGACTGGAGCTCTGGCTCCAGAACAATGGGAGCCTTATGGGCAGGGTCTTATCCCCTCCTAATGGGGGCTGGGTCCTTCTGAGCTGCACCAGGTCCCTGGCATTCCTAGACTTTACAGACCAGCCACCATGTGCCTGCCATACCCAGGCTCTTCTGAGCAAAGCCACGCAGTGACCTCCCACTCGGCCACTGCTGAATGGAGTTGATGAGGATGCCTGGGCCCAGGGCAGCGAATTTACGGGTTGTACCATGGCTTTGGTAGAAAGCCCAGACTGCACTTGACTGTGAGATGTACAGAGAAAGGTGAAAGGTGACTGCTGAGGGCAGAGAAACAGAAGGCAGAAAGCAGAAGTCATGAGGTGGCAGGAGCCACGAGGTGGGAGCAGACTAGTGATTGGAAGAGGCAGGCGCCACAGAAGCAATGACAGAGTTGCCGATTAAGAAAAATGATGGCGGACCAACAAAAGGAGTGGCTGAGGCGGCAACTGCCTGTGTGGGCCCAGCTAGGGGTCCCTGTTCTCCTCAGGCCTCCTGAATCCTCACACTGGCCCTCAGTGCTGGCAGGCCCCAAACTCAGGGCTGACACCTGGGAGCAGAGAGAAGAGCCTTGCAGTCTGGCTCCCAGGACATCTCATTTGTGTGGGCATTTTCAGTGTCTGTGGTCACTGACTACTGGGCCCTTGAGGCTCTGGCAGAATTAGCCTGCCAGCGTTGTCCAGCAGCTCCTCCCCATGGCCCTGCAGCTGCCTGTGGTACTTCTCCCAGCTCCGTTCCTCCAGACTACTGCTTCATCCCCAAATATTTGGAGTCTGTGGGAGGGACAACTCAAAATAAGAAATTCTGAGGTTGCTCAGGAGGTCCCTGAGGGATGGCTGGGGACTTGAACAGACCCAGAGCCATCATACAAAATCTAGAATTAAATGGAATCTGAAAGATCTTCAGCTTCACCCCATTTCTGCTCTTCAGGATGGGAAAATAAGGCCCCAGTGGGGCTGGGCCTTGCTCAGGGTGACCAGCCAGCTGGCAGCCCATGGCTCTCCCTTGAGAAGCCCAGGATACTCCGGACCAACTCCACTGAATGTCCTTAGCCTGCCATCCAGGGCTCTGTGTCCTGGGCCTGGGGCAGCCCTGGATCTCAGCATTTGTGTTGTTGACCTAGGCCCTCACCAGCCTCATTTAGAGTGGGAACTGGACAGAAGCCAGCAGAAAAAAAAAAAAAAAAGCAGAAACCCTTTGGAAAGGAGCAGGCAGAGGCCCAACAATCTTCACTGGAAAGGCCAGGGGTTGCCAAAGTGCAAGCTCACCTCCCAGCCCCTGGTGATGTTGCACTTTAACTGGGCCCCAAGACAAAGCCCAGGGAAGGAGCATGGAAGGCGTAATTCCAGGCATCAGTGTGAGGAGTCAGAGAACTGCTATTCCTGGTCCCTGAAATCACAGCTTCTGGGCAGTGGCCGTCCCTGCTTTGGGGAAATATCGTGCCTGCTGTCAGAGGTTGCAAACCCCTGGCTGAGAAATGGAGTGGAAGGTGGAAGCCCAGGAACTGCCCCCTGAGGCCCTGACCCCAGTGGGTAAGCCCCTAGCTCCCGGTAGGACTTCTTCAGGCTCCCAAGTCCATGTATAGTTCATGTGTTTCTTTCATATGCTCATTTTAAGTATACTTCGGGCTATCTAGAAGCAAATCCCAACAGGCTTTGGCCATCAGCCCCCTAGCCTGACAGGAGTATTTACATGGGCTGGTTAAGCACGCAGATGTTGATGCCAGACAGCATGGGTTCAAGTTCCAGCTCTCCCAATTACAAGATGAGTGTTATTTGGGACAAATTACCTAACCTCGGCTGTAAAGGTTATGATAAGAGTATCCCCAAGGGCTGCTGGGAACATACATTTCGTTAATTCAGCTGAGGCACTTAGAACGGTGCCTGGCTACAGGAAGCACCTGGTCAGCTGTGGCCGTTGCTGGTCCTTCCTGTATGTGCTGCCAGAGTGTCCTTTGGTCTCTGGACCTGTAGGGGGAACTGTGTGCACGGGACCCTCAGGGCACTCAGAGGGCATGGGGCCAGGCAGCTACAGAGAACAGGGTGGCGTGTGGGCTCCTTCCAAGCCTCCAGGTCTGCTGTGTCTCCTGAGCCCTTCTAAGGGGCAATATCTTGAGTTGCCTGCCTGCCATCCTCTCTCCCCAAAAGCAACCAGCCTGGACTGGACATAGCCTCTCTTTAATAGAAGTCATGAGTGCTTTGACATAGGGGACCAGCTTGGATAGAGAGGTGTGGCCTTGGTAGCAGGTCAGGATGCTGTCCTCCTCCTCTGCCGTGGTCCCAAAGGAAGACCAGTGTGCTGGCCGGGGGCTCAGAAGATGTCGGGGACAATATAGTCAGTGTGAATGCCGTCAATCAGTCCATCCCCATTGTTGTGGATGAACCAGCAGGTCACCTCAGTCCCATGCCGGGGGTCCTTGCTGTAGTCTTTTTGTGAGCCCCTGAGGAGAGACAGGCCAGCTGCGATCACCTTTTGGACCCAGCAAGACTGTACCTCCCCAGGAAGCCCACCCCACCCATGTGATCCCTGGAGGAAGCCCTGGACCAACGCTGGGAAACACCAGGGGCAGAGATGCTGGGAGAGCAGCTCACCTACCTAGTGACCGTTAGCCGGCGGTTCTTCACCACCATTGTGGCATCTGTTTTTGTGGGGTCAGTGCCTGGGTGGAGGTTGGACACTTGGTAATCAAAGGGATGGAAGAATTGTCCTGGAAAGGCACATGGAAAGCAGCCATTACCACTGGGGGCTCCCATTCCTGCCTGTAACCAGTAGCTGCTCACTGGAGGTTTAGAGTTGTTAAAACATTTTTTTTTCAAGGACTTGACTATTTCTGATAAATTTTGGCATCAAGAGCCACCTTTAGTTCACCTACTATAGAGAAGCAGATATATTGCCAGGTGGTTGTACCTCCTGTCTTTTTGGACCAATTTCAAAGGAATCTGGCTGAGGAGGAGGTTTGAGAGGTAGGGAGCAGGGTCTGCAGGAGGCCACAAGGAGAAGTGGTGTGGCTGATGACCCATCCCACCCAGGAGGTCTCTGGGAGTCTATTGAACCTTTCCATTTGCTAATCGGACCTCTTCCCACTCGATCCCAGGCTCACTTAAGCATCATTTTCACTGTGCGTTTGATTGCAGCTTTTTTGAGAGATAAGACCCTCAACCAAGACAAGTCCTCTTGGAAGCTCTGAGCCTTGGAGGACACGTTGGAGATGGACCTGTCCTGGTGCCTGGCTGCACTGCTGACCCATGGTGAGTCCACTGGCTTCAACACCCCACCCCACAGCTCTGCAATTCTAGCCAGCCGTACCCAGCAGCCCATGTGTCCGCGCTGACATCCTGTGACTATCCAGCACGTAGAAGCCCAGGAAGTCCTGGTGGACAGCACTCCCCTTCCACACCCGGTGCAGGACGACCTCAAAGGTGCCCCTGTCCTCCACAGACACCACCAGGTTCCTCTTCCTGTTGATGGTCACCACCACCCTGTGGGGCCAGGTGGCCATGAGGGCAGGTGCCACTTCACTGCACCCCCTCCAGCCAGCCATCTTTGTCCTCTGGGACCCAGCTCTCATGTCTCAACCCCTCATCTCCATATGGTTGGGTGTTACCTGCTCCATGCTCCTTCCCATGTGTTGCTATTATGTATGGGACCCTTATAGTGTGTTAGATCCTGTGCTAAGCGCTCTGTGCAAACTGCATCATTCAATTCCCACTCTTATCCTATGAGAACTGAGGCTCAGAGAGGTTAAACAACTTGCCCAAGGTCACACAGCTGGTAAGCAGTAGAGCCAGGACTTGGACTCCAGCCTGTCTGAGTCTGTGTTCTTTGATGCCCACTCATTATCTGTGTCCTCCACATCACACTCTGCCCACCTCACCCTATAGCTCTGCTACCCCATGTTGGGCTCTGGTGCTCAGCAGAGATTGTGGAAGGAAGGAAGAGAGGGAGGGAGGGAGGGAGGGAGACATGACAAGGCATACTAAGACAGATGTTGCAAGAGAAGCCCAGAAAAGGCTGGAGTTCAGCAGAGGAAGAGACTAGGATGGCTTCACGGAAGAGGTAGGCTTTGTTTGGTGGAGATGGGGGTGGACTGAGGGCGGGAGTGTCATGGGAGCACGGACATCTAGGCAGCCAGGTCCAAAGCACATGTCCAGGAACCACAGGGCCTGACATGTCTGCACAGCCCACACAGACATCGGTCACTGACATAGCTCAGGGGGATGAGGGCCCAGCAGGCTCAAGCAGCTCTGGGCCTTTGTCTTGGCCCTCACTACACCCACCCCTGCCTTCCCTCCCAGCTGTGGCCCCAGCCCAGTTACTCGTCCTGCCGCAGTGAGGCCTGGTCCCTCCAGGAGAACACAGGTCCACCGGAGCCAGGGTTCAGCGTAATGTTCTGAGGAGTCACTTCCAGCTGAAAGCCTGTTGCAGGGTTTGCAATCCCCAGCCGTCCAAAGTACGTGGCCTCATGCTGTCCAGGGCTCCGGGCCTCCTTGCCAATGAGCTGCCCATTCACTGAGAAGCCTGCAGTGGGTGCAAGGTGGGACATCCAGGTCAAGGAGGCCAGCTCTCTCTAGAGCCCCACCAGCTGGCCTTTGCTCCTGCCCAGCCTCCTTCCTGGGAGATGCTCCAGTCTCCACCCACTCCATGCCCTCTTTGGTCTCTGAGGGTCTCACCTTCCCAAGGAAGGAGGCCTTTAGGACTGGTGCAGGATGCACGCAGCACCACCTCCCTCCTCTCCCACCACGCTAACTCTCCCATTCTCAGCACCCCCGTTCTGGGCCCCAAAGGAGGTCTTGCCTCCCTGAGGACAAGCCTTGAGACGGCTCCTTCTCTGTGACCTCAGATCCTGACACAGGGACAGATCACAGTAAGTGCAGGTGAATTTGTGGGGCCTCTCTGCAGAGGCCTCTGATCTGAGCAGCCAAGAAGCCCCCTCCTCATCTTCACTATCCGTACACAGCACATCTCAGGCTCTGAAACTGTCAGCTAAGAATGTGTCCACTTGTTTATCTCCCTTCCCTAAACTCCATGGGAGCAGGGACTTTGTCTCAGTTCCCTTGTCCCCAGCCCTTAGGAGGCATTCAACAAACATTAGCATGGCCTGACTGGACTAGGAGGGTGGGAGAAGCGGGCGTGGCTCCCATCAGCCAAGCCCTGCTGGGGATGTGGGCTCCAAGGCCCCCACAGGCATGAGAAGGGGAAAGGCGGGGACAGGGCTGCTGCATAATTTGCAGGGCTCGGTACAAAATGAAAACGAGGGGCCCCTCATTCAAAGGCTGTTAAGAATTTCAAGACACAACAGTAGAGTATTAAACCAAGAGTGGGGTTCTAAGTGTAGGGTCCTGTGCGCTGCACAGGTCACATGCCCATGAAGCAGGCCCTATATAGGGCCCAGACAGGTGGACTGGACATGAAGGAGGCAGGTTAACTCCAGCCAGGTGATGGGTACACCGGGTGGGACGGTAGAGTCCCCAGCCACTGTTCTGTTCATGGCTGAATGTTGGGGGCGAGGGTGGAGGATTCCAGGCCCCACCTTGTCTGGCAGAGGATGTGATGTCACCCCTACCTGTGTCAGGGTCCTGCACCAGGTTGAGGACCACACCAGGCTCCTCGTTGATATTGAAGCATAGGGCGTCCTCCTTCTGGGGCACGTGGATGATGAAGTGGGGGTCAGTGTCCACTGGGGGCACAGCATGGAGTCCATTAGCTTGAGCATCAGGCAGAGGGGGCCAGCCAGGGACAGGGTTCAACCAAGCAACGGTGTCCCTCAGACCCCCTCCCAGCCCCTGACGGACTCACCATAGGTCACTTTGTTTGGCAAATGTGGGGTGTTGGAGCTGGGGCGCGTTGGAGAAGGCTGCGAGGCCGCTAACACAAATGCTGACCGGCAAGAGCGAATGGCGGTTAGAAGGGAGGCAGCTGGGCCTTCCCTGGAGCTGCTGGCTCCTTTTCCAAGGTTCCTCCCACCCAGGAGGGCTGGCCTGAGGCCACGGGGGGCGGGAGTGGACACAGAGCCTTTGATGCCTCTTAGGGGGTGGGAATGGCAGTGTGGCCCAGCAGGGTGGCCTGCCCCCTCTCTGTCTCCTTCCATGGGAACCTGGTGGATCTGGTGGCATAAGGTTGGGGAGGCCAGGCCCAGGTCAGGGTAAGTGTTCTGAGGGTTCCCAGTGGGAGGCCATGAGGAGCTTTGGAACAGGGAAGGAAAGCCTTCTGCTATCATTTCCTCATCAGGCAGATGGGTGATGCCCGGGGCTTTGCTCAGGACTGAATGCACAGCCTGAGGGACGGCCATGTGGAGTAGAGGAGTAGAGATGTGTGTCATCAGAATGGCTGCCACTTACTCTTTCTGGGTCCCAGCATCTCTGTAAAGGACAATAATTGAGGACAACGTCAGCCTCCCTGCCCCACATGGAAGGCACGTGCCTCATTCCCCAAGCACGCCCAGGCCCAGAGACCAATCAGGCCTGGGCCAGCCCTCTTCCTGGGGGGTCCCAGCCCTCCTCATAGAGCTCAACGCTCACACGTAGGGCCCCGATGGAGATGAAGGTGAGGATTCAGGCTACTTGAGGGCCCCCAAGCACACAGGAGGGAGCAACTTGTAGCAAAGTGGGGAAGGGCATCTTGGGGAAGGAAGAGACCGCAGGGGTGGAGCAGAAGAGATGTGGGGGCGGGGAGCACGTGCCACTTGCTTGGCCACCTGAAGCCCCTCATGAAAAATCAACATGATTTAAAAACTCACCCAAGGGTGGAGAATCTGGAAAGGAAAGAAAGGAAAGAGAATTAAAGCTCAGGGGTTTTTGTCTCTCAGAAGCCTCTGCACACCCACAGCCTCCCCTCTGCAGAGCCCATACCCTCCAGAGGCTTGTCAATGATGGGCTCATGGCCGTCCTGGTCCGCCATGCCCCTGATGGTCATGGAGGTCAGCGGGGTCACAAACTGATAGTCCATTGACATCTTCAGGGCCTTGGCTGACACGTTGGCCTTCTCCTCCCCCTTCAGCTTCATCCTGCGAGATAGACGCTGGCCCCAAGCCCACAGCTTGGACAACAGTTGACCTTGCACTCCCTCATCCTTTCAGTCCTTTGTTCACTTATGCAACAAACCTGCACTAAGCACCTGCAGCGCGCCGTTTGGGGGCTGTCTTCAAGGACCTCATGGTTTAAAGACCTCTCACAGAGAAAACCTGGAGATCTGGCCAGGCTTGGGGAGCTGCCTCAGAATGGGGAGCTGCCTCAGAAATATACAGAGAATTTAACAGATCTGAGATTCCGGCAAGCGGTCTAACCTCTCTGAGCCTGGGCTTGCTCAGCATGTTGTGAGGATTCAATGAGTGTCTGGAAACAGTAGCCCCCCCCAGTAAAGGGCAGCCTCCCTGACTGCAGCTCAGTAGGGGAAACAGTGGGCTGCCCTATGCCCCTCGTAGGCCTGCCCACGCTATTGACTGCCTGGTTGATATTAACTTAGCAAGCAAAGTTGGAGGACAGTATATCTGACCCGCTTGCAACCTCGAAGGCCCAGAACCGCCCCTTCTCAGTCCAAAGGCCCAGAGGTTGAGGGTGCTCTGGGGTGGTGGTTGTCTCCAACACACCACCCCACTAGCCCAGCAGCCACTGGGCTCATACCGCTTGTCCAGCAGCTCCTGGATGGTGAGGTAGGCCCATAGGCGTTCGACATGGTTCTCCAGGATGTGGCCCCGCTCTTGGAGCAGTTTCTTCATCTCTTCCTCATCCACCAGGCAGGTTGTCTTGAATTCTTGGCCCTCCTGAGGGAGGTGATGGGGTGAGAGGCTGTGCACCATGGAGGGCTCTGAGGGGCCCCACTGTTGTCTGGTCTCTGTAGCTCCATTCTTAGCACCCACCTCCCACCTTTCCTGAGCCTGTTCTCCTCATCCTCATCCATCCACTCCTTCCAGCAAAAGTGCTAAGCCCCTTCTAGGAGCCAAGTTGGCCGAGGCCCTGGGGATCCCAGGGATGGAGGACTAGCCCTGCCCTCATGGAATTACTGTCTCTGGGAGATGCCAAGAAGCACCCGGCCACTCCACGGTGTAGCTGTTGCCACCACACCTCACACCTCCAAATGCCCACCATGTCCCTGGGCACCATTCAACTTGTCACAGCACAAGAATGTGTCTTTCCTCCCCAGCTACAATAATGGAGGCATGCACCACTTCCCAAGGGCATTGCATGCACAAGGCATGGCATAAGTATATTAAATGGATTCTTTAATTTCCTCCACACAGCTTTCTAGTGCAGTGTTACCCCGGTGGTACAGAAAAGCCTAGAGAGCTGGACCCATTTGATCAAGATCACCCAGCTGGTCAGAGTGGAGCCAAAGTCTAGCTCAGTGGTCCTCACTCAGAGCCAGAGTTCTGAACCCTCTACCACACTGGACGGCTAGTGTGCATGCCCTGCAGGGCAGGTCCAGCTCTCACACACCCGTGATCCCCCAGTGTGCACATGCACACACACTCTGCACTGTTGCACAAAGCTGCAGGCATAGGAGATACTTAGGAAATGGCTGTCACTTGAGAATGAAGAGGCTGGCCTCTTGCTGTCTCGTGCTTTTGGAGGAATAATGTGAGGAGTAACAGGTGGTCCATCTGGGGCCAAGGGACTAAAACTAGTCAAGGCCACGTAGGCCCCACTCTAGCCTGCCTCCAGGACGCCTGCATTGGAGGAATGTTCGCCTGTGAGGGGGTGTGGCATGGTAGGGTGAGGGCACTACTCTGGGGAAAGAGAGGCCCCTGGGGGCACGGGGTGGGGAGCAGTGTGGGTTTGGAGCTTCTGGGTGCTGCCCAGCTTCCCCATCCTCCACCGCTCACTGTTTACCCTGTAAGCCCGCACATCTCCTTTGAAGCTGCTCAGTTTGTGGTCAGCGATGCGCCCAGCCACCATGATCTCCGAGCCTTCATAGTACTGTTTATGGTGGTGCTGGGTCAGGGCTGAGACGGTATCCCAGGGGTACAGCAACTCCACATCCGTCAGCAAGGGGTTGGCTACCTGGTCGTAGAAACCCTGCAGGGGTGGTGGGGGGTGCAGCATCAGAGCCAGTGGGTTACCCTAGACATCTAACAGGAAACCCACTCACAAAATGGGGTGTCAGGATCACAGGCTTAGAATTTAAGTAACTGGCTTGATGTCACACAGCTAATTCACACCCCCGCCAGAGCTTTATCTGTTCCTCTAGGCTGATGGGTATATGGCTGCCAAGGCTGTGCTCCCGTGACATGCTGTGCATCAAGGGGCTCGGGGAGGAGGAGACCTGCAGCTGCTGGGTGGCATCATGGTCTTCATAGATCCTCTGGGCACGTCCGTTGTTCTCCAGGGACATGACCTCCAGGAAGTTCAAGTCCAAGTTGTGGCCGAAGCCCAAGTTGTAGAGCGGGAACCTGCCCCGGATGGCCTTGCGGACATTCTTGAGGATTTGAGAACGATCCGTCACCCCTGCAGCCACACATCCAGGTAGGGAAGGGATACCAGATCACAGGCATGTGGGGCATGAGAGATCTTTGGGACCCACTCCCTGGGACCAAGCCTCTCATCTCAGATCATCTCCAGCCCCCACTGGCATCTTGAGGCAGTGCCTCTCACTGGGTCTCCTGCGTGACTGCAACAGCTACTAACAGCTCCTCGCAGACTTTGCTCATCTTCATGAATCTGATTATGCTCTAAACCCTCCCACGGCTCCTCGCCATGGCCTGTGAGGTCCTACTGACCTTTCCACTCTGTTTCACCTACTCTGCACATGCCTGCAGTTCCTGGGCAGGCCCTGCCGGTGCACAAACCTTTTTTTGCTCAAGCTGCCCCTTCTGCTAGAGATTCCTTCCTGCTTCTCTCCTCCATCCAGACTGAGCTCCGGGGTCACCTCCTCCAGGAGGACTGCTGGGACCCTGCCTGGCCCAGGTGTCTCTTTTCTGTGGTTCTACAGCCTCGTAGCACCCTGTTCTTTCGGGGATCCTGACAGAGCATCTGCTCCTGGGTCTGCCTCCCCCAGTGGACAGTGGGCTCCTTAAGGGCAGAGATGTGTCTTGCTCTCTTAGTATCTCTTTTTAGTCCCTAACTCCATGCTTGGCACTCAGTCGGTGCTGAATACATAGTTCATTAAACTCAACCTAGGAGTCCTGCCTGTCCTCCTGGGCCCTGTGCAACCCTGTGTCATGCAGAAACTTCCCGTTTCCCAACTCAAGACAGAAGAACACCTTGGAGCTCCTGCAGACTTTATGATCTGAACTGTTTTTAGACCAGTGCTTGCTTGGCTTTACCCTGAGCCTTTCTACCCCTGACAGCATCCCCAGTGGTTGGGTTTCCAAGTTCAGCTTGAATGCCTTTGGTAATGTAGAGATCACCACCTCCCAAGGTGGCCCTCGGGGCACTTACCCTCTGTGGGCTCGCCATCTGTCAACATGATGAGAATGGAGGCATGGTTGCTGAGTTCTGGGAGGCTTCCCTGAGCTTTGTTCAAGATCTCAATTCCCTGGAGCAAACCATCATTCATGTTTGTAGCTGTAAAAAAAGAGAAAGAAGATCAGTGTATGCCCTCAATCTGAGAGGACAGACGTGACATCAAGGTGGCCCCAGACCCCTGCCCTTACACCCGGCCAGGGAGAAACGCCGCACGAAGTTCTGAGCCGCGTCCAGATTGGCAGCGGTTGCCTGCACCAGCGAGTCCCTCCATGACACCACTGCAGACCCAAAGAGGACCAGGTTGAAGTAGTCCCCTGGCCGCATGTCCCCCAGGATTTTAAGGAGTGCCTCCTTGGTCTGTAAGGACAGGACAGTCAGTAGAGGGACAGGGCCCCAGGATAGTGCCTCCTGTCACCTCCAGATACCCATTTCAGAGGTCCACAGGGTAGAGTTACATAGTGGACAAGCAGGAGGGGTTGGACAGGACAGCCAGGTGGTGCCAGGAGAGAGGCGTCCTGCTGTGCCCTGGGGTATCTGAGGGGGATGGATAATGTCAAGGGATCCAGTGTGGGGAGAGGACATGACCAGGAGTTCGAGTGGGGCAGGATTAAGACAGAGGACCCCAAGGGGCTGAGTTTCTAAAACTCTGCTTGTCCAGCCATGGTTTCACTGCACCCCAGGGTATGCTGAGTGCTGTGGGAGTGGGCTGTGCCCTGCTGTGAGCCATCTTCCATGGACCACTGTCATCAACCCCGCTTGCCTAGGGTGCAGGTCTCCACTTCCAAGCACACTCCCACTGGTCAGCCCCATGACCCTGTGGGAACTGTCAACATGCCCATTTTTTGCCATTGAGGGGAAGGGAATGCTCTCGCCCTCTGTTGCACAGGGAGGAAGTAGCTGATTCCAGAGCCCCCCACCAGGATTTCCAATTAAATCAACCTGCCTATGACCAGGAGCAGAAAGCCCAAACCAAGACTCTGGAGACAAAACCAGTGTGGGGTGGGTGATGGAGCTGAAGAAGCTTCTGCTGGGTTAACCATTTAGGGGAAGCACAGTTTACCTGCTTCAATTTCTGGCCTTCCATGGAGGAGCTGATGTCAATCACAAAAACCACATTCTTGTTCAGTTTCGTCAGGTTTTGGGGGGCAAAGAAGTGGGCAAAGTGGTTATTGGCGACCTGAAACACAAAGGGATGAGTGAGGCCTCTCTCCCAAGCTCCCTTGCCAGCCTTCTGAGGCTTGGGCTGGAAGCTTCTGGCTCACCAGGAGGTCGCAGAGCTTGTCCCGATTGACATCATAGGTCACCTTGAAGTCCCCTTTCAGCAAGGTCGTAGAGCACGAAGGGCAAGATTGCTGCTGGCCCACTGTGGGGCGGAAGAGCACGTGACCCTGGAACCAGCAAGGGCGTGATGCATTACTTGTGACAACTAAGATGTGTGTGTGTGTGTGTGTGTGTGTGTGTGTGTGTGTGTGTGTGTGTGTGTGTGTGTGTGTGTGTGACTAGGTAAGTAGGTAAGTGGTTGGTTCGGGTAGGGGTACGGGTACCGTACCC